GGCTCCTGCTGTGGTTTGTTGGCTCTGCTGAGCCCCACTCATCTTGGATGGATGGCTTCCCCGTGGGTTTTCAAATGATGGATTGTGAGCTCCCCTTCGGCAGGCCTTTATGGGGAGCCCACGCGGACCCGCCCCCACACCGGGATTTTCCTCTGCTTTCTATTTTCATCTTCTGTGTCATGAACTGTTCTTGGAATGTTTTCGACAACTCACAAGCAGGTGTCACGTGTGTATTTTTTCCTTGGCAAATCATAAAGCTCAGCATGGTCATTGTCTGAGGTGACCAGATTTTAACATTGGTAAAGCAGGACACCATTGGTAAAACTCAGATTCTGGCGAAATAGCCACAGGGCAGGCGAAAACCGTATACCCTAGCTTGTCGTGCATTCTTTCCAAAAATCAGGACTTTTTTAAAATGCCGCGGGACGCGGGGAAAATTGTTAAAAATCGGGACTGTCCTGCCAAAAGCGGGATGTTTGGTCACTTATCATTGTCTCAACTCACAATGGCCACATGGGCAACAGCCCCCAGGCTCATGCGACTGTTTAAATTAATCCAAATGAAATACAAATGGACACTCAGCTCTTCAGTCCACTAGTCACATCTCAAGTGCTCAGTTCCCACCTGTGGCCACTGTGGTTGGGCCGTGCAGAGAGAACATTCCCATCCTCCCAGAAACTTCTTTTGGATGCTGCAGCTTTAGAATATTCCAGAATTCAGAAGCGTCGTTGTGCCCATTTCCTGTTGATACACCCTGCCACGGCCACCACCATCACTGAAGGGTTCTGACTTCTAGAATCAGTTTCTTTCTGTGAATGTACCTTTAAAATGAACAACAGCTCCCCACTCCCCTCAATAAAAAAAGGTAGAAACTAACTAAATGACCACAGAATACTATGCATCCCTCGGATCAAATATGATGAAACCATGAAGCATCTCAGGACATGCTGAGTGAAACCAGCCAATTATAGAAGGATAAATATGCACAACCTGTGTTATAAGTGGGGAAATACATAAGAAACCAAGACAAAGGTTTTCATACCAAAAGGAACAGACTTTAGACTGCCCAGGGTGGGTAGAGTGGTTCTCACGGCCAGGAAGTCGTTTCTGACTCCTCGTGACCCTGTAAGACAGGGTAGAACTGGCCCCTGTGGACTTCTGAGATTGTAACTCTTTATGGGAAAGGAAAGCCCCCAATTTCTCCTGAGGAGGGGCTGGGGGTTGGTTTTGAACTGCTGACCCTGCATATCGCAGCCCAAAGAGTAACCACGGCGCCACCAGGGCTCCTGCACAGAGTAAAGGAGGGGCAATGGGCTCGACTGCAGATGAGTGTTGACTCCGGGTGTAGCAGAAGACAGTCCGCAGGAGGGGTAAGAGAAGGTAAGGGGTGGGTGAGGGGCAAACTATTGGGGGATTGGATTAGTCTTTAAAGTGCTGAATACAGAGCTCATGATCTGAAATGGAAACCCCCATCTAATTTATAATGCAAAATTGCAATGGGGTCAAATAAAAACACTTAACAAATTAGAAAATAGGGGGGCAGGGAGGAAGGGGAAAAACGGAGGAGCTGATACCAAGAGCTCAAGTAGAAAGCAAATGGTTTGAGGAGGATGATGGCAACACATTTCAAATGTGCTTGACACAATGGGTGGATGGATGGATTGTGATAAGAGTTGTACGAGCCCCCAATAAAATGATTTTTTTAAAATTAGAAAATAGACACAAGATAAGCAATGCCATCGAGTCAATGAAGACTCAGAGAGACCCTATAGGGCAGGGAGAGCTGCCCTTGTGGATTTCTGAGACTGCAACTCTTTAGGGGAGTAGAAAGTCTCATCTTC